ATCATGACTTCCGTGATATTCAATGTTACATAAGTTAAGTGGTTTGTCCCGAGGAACTACAATACGACCTTTCCAACCACATTTGCCTTTGCGGCACCCATTCTTCAAGAAACATAATTTAATACTTCACAAATTTCAATGAAAACAAATACATTAAAATAGATATATTTTTATTCTATATACCCGCAAAGAACATCCAAGATACTCTGTGTATGCAAACATTGAATTAGATAATTGTTTTGCATGTTCGCCTATGAGCGTAATAGTTTTGATATCTCCTTCACGTAACTTAATATTTTGAAAATGTTAAGAGTTCGCTTCACATAATTTGCACTAACAAATATAATCAAACATATCTCACCCGACCCTTATTTGTACGATCCTGTGGCAAAATTTCATAGCCTTCACTAAGAGCACCACCTCCAGACGATACCACATCAAATGTGTATAAGTCTAATACTGAGGGTACATTGGTGAGTGGCACTTGTGTGCATTGAATATTTGGAAGTAACGGGCGCCAAATTATTTTAGACTTGATACAGCTACTAGACTGGGAAGATACGTTATCCATTGCAATTGTAATAACAAAGTAGTTTAATGTTAGCGTATTAAATCATCCGTTATTTATATGCAATTACTTTTATATATTTGATAAGTTTGTTTTGTGCCTACTTAGATAGTAAAAGAAAGATACCCCAATACAGATTCTGATTTTCCAAAAAAGGAAGCATAGAATTTGACACAACCAACCTGATTAATGCAAGTTTTTGAAATAAGGTTGAAAAACAGAATAAAAAAGGAGTAAGCAGGGTTGTTAGTACTATTTTTTTGGTAACTTATAAATCCTTATTTCAATTACAGGATTTTGTGTAACAGCTCAAACACGAAAAATGTAAAAAAAGTTTTCAGCATGAAATGTTACTTATAGAACACAATTTTAATGTGGATAAAATCTACGATATTTAATAACGTGATGCATTTACAGCGAATCAAAGAACAAAATCAGGTATATATATATAACATAAAAAATTAAACAATTGTTTATTTTTGAAAAGCCTCATAATATATCGGGTAAAATTTATGAAGTATGGCACGAGTTGTGTTGGAATGTCACGGATCATGGGCATGTAAAGGCGCGTTTTACGGGATGGTAAAGTTAAAAATAACATGACATTACGGCAAGGACACACATATGCACGTTGTACGTGATGGCACGTCTCCATTTCGCAGAATAACATGTGTTAAAAGTGACGTGTTAGTTCACGAAGAGTGAAGAATCAAATTTTTTGCATGTGCGGCTATTTCGATTGCCTAGTTCTCATTAAATAAAATGTTTACTAAAAAGAGGACATAGTACAACGTTCAATTTTATTCATTTCCGAGCTGCGACAATCACGATTTATTATGTACATACGTACGATTCGATGCGGGAAATCTAAAAACTTCAATCAATTTATTAGGAATAAAGATTAACTAAATTTAGTAGCTGCTTACTTTAAGCAGTATGCATAAAGTTGCTATTAAGTATATATTTTCCTTGGTGCATTATTTATATGCAAAATGGTTGAGAATTCTAGATCCTACACTTTATTGAAATTGATAATTTAAGAAATTTATTTCAATGTGCTACCAGTTTATGCATTATCTATAATACAGTACATGAATTTAAATCAATCAATAACTGCCGAATTCGCCGAAAAAGTCATCCATAACTCAAAATTTTGCTTACAAAACTAATATCTGCATCCTAGTAAAAAAATTTCTCGCAAAATTTTGGTATGTGTAATGCCCTTTCTAAAATCGTCCTGATACCCTACCTTTAAGTTACTTTTCAATAGAAAAAATGTTCACGATTTAATTATTGGCCAATGAAATTTAGCGCAGATCATCACTGGATTACAAACGCAGCATTTTATATGACAAATTTCAAAGTTTTTGATTCAGTGTAATGTGAATATTAAAGACAACCAGTAACTGTATTTTTTTATTTGTAAAAGATATTAAGTTTCCATATATACAAAATAAATCAATCTATCTGATCCGTAGACGTTCATAGTGATCCAAATCGGACCAAGAAATGCAATTCATAGTTCCTTAGTTTCTCGCAGTGTCAACCAGAATCCACATATAAATCATGAAACTGCACCCCTGATTCAGATACAGGTAAAGATGTGTTAAGAAACTTTCACAGAATTGGAATGCTAAGGTCGGTTTCGATCCACATTTTTTCATTAATTTCAAACTTTTGCCTAATGTTAAGTGCGTACTAACAAAAAAAAAATTCATTGCAAAATTTTAGCATGATATTGCCATATTGCCCATTAATCCTGTCACTAACCCAACCAAGATGTCACATTTTAAAAGATATAAATTAACGCAAATAATCCCATTCAGAACTTTGAGAAAACAATAAATTTCTAAGATAGAAGAATGGAATGCATTTGTTATTAGAGTCAAAAGAATAAACATAAGGCGTTCACTTATTATCAAATACCGTAAAAGTTCGTATATAAGATCCCCTGAAATAGTATAAATCAGACCCGGTCTATAATATAGATGGAGATTTTGATGGAATATAGAAGATCCGGGTATACTGTAAGGAACAACAATTAAAAAACCCGGGTATGATATTAGATCATTATATATATCGTATGAATTCAGTAAATTTTCACATAAACGCCTTCCCCGATTATCAAACCAATGTCTGAACAATAGACCTCCGGATCTCATATATGAACTTTTACGGTATTTTCTAAAATGGACAACGTTGATGAAACAAACACTCTTGGAGATCGTGATCAGAATTTCGACCTCTATAGTAAATGAAATATTACCGGTGGGTAATAAATGTTAGCAGTTAATAAATAATGCGAATAAAAGAGGTAAAGATCACTGAATTACATTGGCAAAGGAAAAAAATTGTACAGCTTTATCGTTACATTATTTTTTATTTCACGGGTTAGCCTGTAGGTTGACCTACAGATTAATCCGTGGGTTGACCCACCTAATCCACCCGAGTCATATAAAAACCAAAAATCATTAATTAGTCGGTTAGAGTAAAAACCCAGGCAAAAAACAATCTTATAACTTATCTTTAAAGTTATAAAGCTACGATTAGTTATTAGTTTTACGAAGTATACGCAGTGCTGGTCATTCTTATAAGTCCAGTAATTTGAAATAAAATCGGAATCTATAGGTTTCAGCTTATAAGCTAATAAAACAAGGTTGGCCCGACTATTTAACATCTGGTATGCGAAATCTAAAGATTATCTATCATACTATATGAGTGCGTGAGAATAAAAACCTGGAACTGATTTATAATGATTTACTATGATCAGTTACAGGTTTTCATTCTC